ATAAAATTAAAATTATATAATATAATTTATTAATAATTATAAAGTTAAATTAAAATTTAAAATTAAAGTTATATATACATTAACAGATTAAAATTATGTTATTATTTTAACTCTGATTATATGATATTTGTCTAATGGTAAAAATAAATAATAAAGTTAAAGTTATACACATATTACTAAATTAAAGTTGAAGTTGCGCATTATTATTTTAATTCTTATTATATAATATTTGTCTATATATATATAATAAAAGAAATACCTTTTAATTAAACTCGAAACAAAAAAGAATATCTTTATTATGTTTCTATTAGATTTAAATAATTAGTTAATATAATTTCTCATTATTTATAATTATAATTAATTATTATAATAATAATCATTACACACCTTTATTAAAAAATCTCCAAGTACAAAAAATAATATGTAAAAAGAACATTCCTCACCATTAGATAATACATGATCTTGATGACAGTTAATGTAAAGGTGTTAGTGGAAGTGAAATGGTAAAGATTATAGTTGTTTATGTTACAGGTTCGAATATTGGACTTACAAATCGAAATACAATTTGTTGGAGTAATTACTGATTCACAATGCAACAGTAAATAGTTGGAAACATTATAAAGATAGTTTAAAAGGTATAAAAGTTAAAGTTTTAATTCTAGTGTATACTTTTTACTTATCGAAACTCCCATAACAAAATATTTGTTAAATAAATAAATAATATTTAAAAAAACGTACGTTTAAAAATAATTTAATTGCACATTTTCAAGTAAATATATAAAAAGTTTTATCCAATAGAAAATTTTTAATACATGTGATACGGTCACACTTCCGCTTTAACCCGAATCACCTCACATGATTCTACTCCGCTTTAGCCTACCCCCTAATTTATCTATCCAGAAATTGTATTGTTTCACCATTACATAATTTAAAATTAGTATTGTTTCACCAATTTCGCCATGCACGTTACAATTCAACCAATTTACGCAGTTTTTTTTATCATTGTTGTATTCGGATAAATTAAATTTTTTTTTTTTTTATATTAAAATATTCTATTTAAGGAAATAAATATTAGATATAAATATTACAATCGTAAGTTAATCTATCAATTTTTTTTTAAAGTATATCAAGAAAAGATTATTAAGATAATCAAAATATTATTAATGTAAATAAAAAAAAAATAAATTAATATAATAAAAAATTAATTATAAAGAATCTACTTTTGAATTCTATTTATTTGATTCCGGAATAATATTATGAAGTAATGCAACCCGCATGAGTAAATTTTGTAATGCCAGTCGCAAATCAGCAATGTTAATATCGTGCGATAATAGATTAATTGCTTCAGAATAAAAATCGGGAATAAATCGTAAAAGCTATTAATTTATTAAAAGAAAGAGATTAAACAAATTAACAAAAAAAAAAATAAAAATAAAAAAAAAAAAAAAAACTAAAAAAAAAAAAATAATAATAATTATCAAATAAAATACATCATCATTATCGAAATTAACATATGCGTTTAAAATGGATGCCACCACAGGTGCCCAAGCATTGATGTTTCGCGGTTGTGACTCAGGATCCAATGAATTATAATACCTTAATACTTGCAACGAAAGTCTGAAAATGTATTAATGTTGTATTAATTTAATTTAATTATTATTATTTTTTTTTGTATGTAATTAAGAAAAATAGGTGGCTTACGGTATTAATTTTAATTCGATTTCTTGTTTCTTTTCTTTACGATCCGCGGAATCATCTTGTTGCATCCTAATTAATAAATCCAAATAGCAAGATGCACTACTTGATTCCTGTTTAAGTAAATTCGGTAATTGCTTCATAAATCCTAATCAAAATTATGAAAGTTACCGTTATATATATTTGTTCAATAAATAAAAATAAAAATAATAATAATAATCATAATAATAATAATAATAATAATCATAATCATAATAATTTTTAAATTTACCAATTTTCCATAACGCGATTCTTAAATTTTTATCTTCATTAAACTTCCGTGCAAAATTATAAGATTTTTCCAAACATTCTCCAATTATCAACAAGTGTACTGCGGGAATTGAACCAAATACTAAGTCATTGCTCAATAAATCATTAACAGTGTCAATAAGAAGTAATTGAAGTAAGCATTTAATAATTATTTGATTAAATTCTTGTGTGCGTTGTTCATTATGTACTATGGTAGTTGTTGATGAACGTTCAGAGTCAGGATAATTCTCTTCAACCATCGATCGGGTATTTAAGTCAACTTCAGAAATAAATCCATTTTGACCTTTAACAATAATAATAATAATAATAATAATAAATAATTTATAAATAAAATAATAAAAAAGCAATTAAATATATATAAATATATATGAATAAAGAAAATATTTAAATCAAATTACCATTATGTTCTTCAATGAACCCATTTGCAGCTTCAATAAAATGATGATCTTCGTCAAGCAAATTATATGCAGTTGTTGATTCGAATAATTGAACAAATGTAGCACAAACTTTCCCCCAATGATCGTAATCTAACTTTTTTACATTGGCTAAAATTAATTGTTGTAAACAAGAACTTCCTATACGAGCCAATGTGTCATTTTCTATGAAAATAAATATAAACAATAAATAAATAAATAAATAGATTAATTAATTAGAACCTATTTAAGGTTATTTAAAGTTTATCATATAAAGAAATCAACCAATCTAAACATACTGCAAAGTCAATAATACAATACCTTGAATTATGCAAGATCCAAGTAAATCTAATATTCCATCAATCATAACTTCAAGAATATCAAAATAGTGAGTAAAAAGATCAATCATATTTCTAAGGGCTTGAATCATTGTTGTTGATAACCACACACTCATATCTTCATGACTGGAAAATTTAGAGATATCTGATCGAGATTTTAAAATTCCAAAAATCGGAAAGAGAACTTGTCGACATATTACTCCCCAAAATTCCAGTGAATATGTTGAACCAAATTTTTTAAGTGTGTCAAACATTGAATTCAATGCTCTTTATTATATATATTTAATACAATAATTTGTTTTTTTTTTTTAAAAAAAAATGAAAGAAAAATAAATACAAATTATACAAATTCATACCATATCATGAATATAAAAATTTACCTTGTTCGAACTTCCAAATCTTCACTATTCATTATAACATCATGGAATCCGAATAATAAAGGATACCAGAATTTGAAAGATGGATCATCATTAGTAATTACTTTACCAGTTGGAGCAGAAACATCTTCAAATCCATTGGCATCTTTAATAGGTTCATAAATTTTGTATTGAGGATATTCTAACATCTTTGAAATTGAAACGCATATAAGTTCAATGGACTGAAGACTTGATCGCAAAGGAAAGAAAAAGTTAAAAAAAAAGGAAGATAAAAAATTAATCATTAATTTAAATATTTCTTAAAAGAAACTATTAAAAATTCATTATTGGAATTACCTCGTTTTCTGGAAACGTTTATTCTTACAAAATTCTGTAAGACAAACCATAAGGTCTGGATAAGTGCTATTTGTTACTATGTCATCAAATCGATCTTTAATTAACAATCTTACGAGATCAAATGCCATTATAACAATTGCCTCTAAAAAATTAAATATATATATATATATATATAATATAAAAAAGTGTCAAAAATGCAAAAGATGTAAGTATATATATATATATATATCATCTTTAAAGAGTCTAAAAAAATTTTTTTAAAGAAATTTAAAGAATTTAATGAAGCTCATTAAATGAATTTAAATGAATTTACAACCATTAGATTCCTTTGCAGCTGCTGAAAATACACCAAATAAAGCTTTCCAACCAGATTTAATATTATGAGATCTTGCTTGAATCATTTGTTGAATGCATCGCAAAACCTAAAAAGTAATAAGAAATAAATATTAATATAAAAATCCAATGTTAAACAATGTCAAATAAAATTATTATAATATAATCAAGTCAAATGTATTTACCATATCTTTAATAGAAATATTTGAATTATTAATTAAAACATATTCAAAAGGTCTCAGAAAATCCTTCTGAAATTTAAAATGTGGAAGTTCTTCTTTTGCCAAGAACTGCATTGCTAATTGACGAAGAGAATCTATGGCAAAGAAACCAACATTTATATTTGGATGACATCCAACCTATCATTATATAATAATGAGTAATTCAACAATAATAATAAAAAAAAAAATATTTTTTCCTTTTAAATTAAAGAATCATAAAATTCATTAAAGAAAATTTAAAAATTATTAATTTAAATACTTGATTAAAATGTTCTCCTAATATTGCCCAAACGTAAGACCATTCCATCCTTATACGACCCATATTATAATAAGAAATTTCAACTATTTTTTGTAAACTAAACATTCTTGGGTTTTCGGTCATACTAGAAGATTGTATTTCTTCCCATGAAACACCACTCAATGCTCTCACAAATTCAACAATTGCGGTCTATTGAATTAATTAATTAATTAAAAAAAAAACTTCAATTAAATAATAAGAAACTTTTTTACAACTAAAACGTATAAGAAAAAACAAAAAAAAAACAATGAAGACTCACACCGGAAAGCTTTGAACTTGAACTGAAAATTCTATCAACTGCAACCACCACTTGAGATGACCTACTCTCTAATGCAACATCTTCAGCGTACATAACCTTTTATATATAAAACAAAATTCATTACCATAAGATAAATATTAAATAGTAAACAAATAAAAAATGTTAAAGGAATAAATTTACTTGAGATGTAGGTCTCACTGTAAATGGTCTTTTAGTGGTCAAACTACGCCTTGCGCCGTTGTCCAAAGAATGTGGACTAATAGCAAATAAATAATAATATATTTATTTACTATAGGTTTTAAGTAATTGAATTTTTTTAATAATAATAATAATAATAATTTGAAGGAAAATAAAAAAGTACCGTGGTTGTTTTCTTGCGTTAGATATATCAGGTACGACAGTTTGATCCAAACCAGAACTTATTAATTGAAATCTTTCCAATTGACTTACGCAAGTTAAAACTTCTTGCCATGAACCTTTCAAATAATTCCCTTCAGTCAATGCAATATCTAAAAGAGTTTTAATAGCATCTACATTTTTCGGTTTCATTTCACCAAGATTATTCAAAAAAGTGAATTTTGCTAATGTAGTAATAAATGCATTTCTTTCCAATTCCATATCAAAAAGACATATAATACGAATGGCAAGTTTAAATCCTTCTAAAGAAAGATTTGCGGTTTCGATATCTTCAGTATCTTGAAGAGGACCGGACAAACCAGCAAGAACAGGCATCCAAGCTACTTCGAACATGGGACGAACGTGCTCAAAATGGGAAGCACTATAAAAAGTAGTATTGGCTGTGTAAATTCCACGACGTTGAGCTCTGAGCATTGATTTAAATAAGTTCTAATAAACAAATGATAAATGATTATCTGGACATTATAAATATATTTTTTAAATCCCCCCAAAAAAACAAATTAACGGGATATTACATTGAGAATATAATAAGTTACCTCAGTTTTATTTGCCATTTCCATTGAAGCCGCTTTATATGCTTCTCGTTTAAAATTTCTACCAACATTAACTATTGCGCTACCAATATTTGAAATACCAATTCCTCCAGGTGAAGTAGGAATCTGTTGCATAAATACAGCATCTTGTTCATCTTTCATCTTAATTTCATTATTTTGAATTTCATCATATATGGCCATTAGAAATTCTTCAGATAAATTTGAATTATCATCAATTCCTCGATTATTTTTAATGAATTCATCCTTTGTCATTCGACGCTTAATTTGTGGATTATGAAGATCGGTATTTAACATAATAACTGAATATGCCAAGACGTAAGCAGTATCTAAAATTAAATAAAGAAAAATTAAAAAATAAAGATTTAAAAGATAAATTATCATTATTACTATTATTATTATTATTATTATTATTATTGTTATTATTATTATTGTTGTTGTTGTTGTTGTTGTTGTTGTTGTTAATAATAATATTATAATTATTACCAGCATTAGCAAATTGAGTAGGATTTCCATCCACATAACGTTCAGCAAATTTCAACATAAATCTATCTATCTTCTGAGCTTCACCAGGTAATCGAAATGATTGTAAAAATAATCGTAATGCATTTACAAAATTCATATTTGTAAAATCCATTAGATCTACAAATGCGTGCATTGTTGCAATATTTTCTGGTTCACTAAAATAGACAAAAAAAAAAGAATTATGAAAAATATTTACTAAGTGACATAAGATATGAATAAAATATGACAAAATAAATAATAATAATAATAATATTATTATTATTACCCTTCTCCTAAATATTCTCCAATCATTGCCTTATTAAAACCTTCTGTGTATAACAAGAAATTTGCAATTTCAACGGGTTCAACACTTTTAATAAAACCCGCGGATACTAATGATTGAATTCCCTATTAGATCAGATCATTAAATCATTAAATTATATTAATAAATTAAATTACAAGACATAATAATAGATATAAACAAACGAATGAATGAACAAGGAATTAACTAACTTTTTTAGGTTTAAAATTAAATTTTTTGATTCCATCTTGAAGAATTTGTTTTCTATGTTTCAAATTTTCAAATTCTTCTGGATCATCAATAGCTTTTGTAGTCGTCGTTTTTAAATCATTAGATATTGATCCAGGAACTGACATTGTGGATGATGAAGGTGATGATTTATTTGTGAATGTAATAGAGGTTGGAGATTGAGTTGAAACAAATTCTATTGTTTCTTCACTTTTTCGAACAGGTTCTTCTTTATCATCTTCACTACCATTTTCAATTGAAGATTTATTACTACACCATGCCACCAGAGATCTTAAAATAGATACAAGACATTCAAGACCTTGATATTTTAATGCTAATTCATCAGGACGACCTGAGTGAATTTGTGATGATGAGGTTGAAGTTGTTATCGATTTGGTAGCCAAAGAAGGGGGAATAACTACATTTTGAGTTATACTAGCCAATGATGTTGCAGAATCATTATTTGGTGAATCTTTATTATTATCCTTATCAGTATTATTGTTGTTGTTATTATTATTATTGTTATTGTTTGTAGAATTAATAGTTGTATAAGTTGTTGTGATTTTCGATACAATATTTACAATTCTTAATAAAAATTAAATTAAGAAATAAAATTATTTTCAATTATAATTATAATATAAATTATATAAAAGATTCTTTTAATTCTTTACCGTTCATAAGTATTATCCAATGCTTCTCGATCACAATCATAATTTAAATAAATTTCTACTAAAGTTTGAGGATCACTACAAATTCTTGAAAGGACATTTAATAATGTATACTTATGTTTTGTTGAAGAACTCCTCATTTCTAAAATTGGTAAAAATATTTCATTTACAAATACTTCAATCTCTTTCTAAAAATTAAATATTCCAAAGAAATGAAATTTATATTAATTAAATTATAAATTTCATACATATTGAATATATTGAATATACTGAATATATTGAATTGATATATAGATATATAGAGAGAGATATATATATATTGTAGATATAATATTTTTACCTTTAAATGACTCCTAAGTTTATTTATACATTTCCAAAATATCTCAAGACTAGTTTCAAATATTTGAGGTACAGGACTAACAGAATTTCTACTCAAACTCAAACATAAATATTGTTTAATCGCTTGAACAAATAAAGTGGACTCACGTGTAGACGATGAAGTTAATATTACATATGGTGATGTAAATACTTGTATATGTGAACTTAATATTGTTAATATTAAGTGTAATGATAAAAGTTTCGATCTCATTGCATGTGATTTTAAATCCGTAGAAGATGCAGCCGGTATAACTTTCATAGATAATTTGCACAATGCACGAAAAACGAGGAATGCATCTTTAATATAAAGTTCATCACGATTCATAATATTATTATGTTCATAATTTGGTTCCGCTTCCGCTTCGAATGATTTTCGATGTTCAAAAGAATCTCTGAAAAAATTTTCAACAAGTTAATAAAACTATTGATATATGTAAGCCGAAACATTTAACTATATATAATTCTTCTAACTAAATACGTACAAAGTCATTTTTTTTTCACCAGGAACATCTTCGGGAACTTTGAAATCTACTTCACCTGAATTTTGAGCATCATTCCATTGACCAAACTCCAATGCATCTATACCATCTAATTTTATGGGGGTTAAAACTTTTTCATCTGTACTCTCTAATTTTACTGATGTTTGATCAAAGCTTTTTTGTATATCATGTTTATCATCATTATCATCATCATTATTATTATTATTATCATCATCATTATTATCATTATTATTATGATTATTATTATCATTATTATTATGATTAATATCATTATTATTATGATTACTATTATTATCATCATCACCACCATCATCATCATTATTATTATTATTATTTTCTTCCTCTGGAAATTGATCATCAAAATCTTCACCATTCTCTTTTATTTCTAAATTTAATTTATGCTCCAAATCCAATTCATTCGAATTTTTGACAATAACATTTTCATTAGGATCATCTTTCTTAAAATTTCCATTTCTTTCATTTTTTTGATTTTGATTTTCATTTTTATTTACTTTTTTTTTTTTCCTTCTAAGTAAGTCAACATTATTGACATCTATACGACTAAATACATGATGAATCATTTGAGTTAATGTTCCTTGAGCAATAGTTTGGTTTTTAGAATTTCTAGAAAGTAAGAATATATTGTATGATGTACGAATAGACTTGAGAAGAGAAGATTGATGAATTGGAACGACTGTTGATGAAACAGCTGCAAGAAGTGCCTTTCAAATAATAAGTTTAAATAAATGTGTCAAATAATGTGGTAAAAAAATGTGGTAAAAAAATGTTTTAAATATAAATAAAAGGTATAATAAAAAGTATAATAAAGTATAATAAAAGGTATAATAATAGTAAGAATAGTAAAGAATAATAAGAAATCATAACATAAAATATTTATTAAAATTTACATTAAAAAAAAAAAAAATTATATTATTAAAAAAAAATATTTGAAATATTTTATTTAAAATATCTATACAAAATTATATTATATAAAGTCAATATATTATATAATTATTATTACCTTAATAATTTGTAATTGAACTTTATCATCAGTATTATCTCCAATAAAGCAATCACAAACGACATCAACTGCTTGATCTATTAAGAGTTTTTTAGTAGAACCATTTTGATTTTCATTTTCATTGGATTGTTCTTCCTCATCTATGGAAGCCAAAGAATCATTGGTTGATTCTTCTATCAGATAATTGTATGAAAAAAGTTTTCCTATACAGTCTATGGCTATAGTCATAAGGACAATATTTTTCGTTTTACATGATAAACAAAGTGGTTCGAAAATAAGGTTGACATCACTAAAGAAAATTTTTTTTTTTTTTAAAAAAAATTAATGAAATTTATGAAACTTATTAAACATATTTATTCTTAATAAACAGTTCAGTTATAATTGGTTCTTACCTTTTTTCTTCCGAATTTTCATTTTTTATTGATTCTAAAATTGATTTAAATAAATAATTTAATAAATATCGACAATTCCGTGAAAATTTATTTGATAGATTTCATTACCTAAAGCTTTGCCAACACTTTCTTTGAGTGCTTTATTTTTCCTGCATTCTTTATTCGCACCAATACTTTCCAGCGCATTGATGATAAAAACGACGCTCGATGACATTGATCGAGAAAAGTAAATTGATAAATAATGTAACTTGATTGCATTTTTTTAGGTTTTTAAATATAATTTTATCAAAATTTTAAATTTTGTACCATCCAATCAATAACGTGATATTCATTGGAACGTGTCGTGTATAAATCCGAACGTGGCTTGCAAGTACAAATATGGAGGGAAACCTATTAAAGCGAGAATTTTTAAATCACCAATTTTATTATCAATAGAAAATGCCTTATATGTACTAATTAGGGAAAAGTATATTTGGACAAAATCAAAGATTTCATTACAGCAACCAGATCCTCTATAATTCACCTTTCTATAATCCCACCAAATCTGTTATCTTGAAACATTATATATCTGGGGGCTATATAAAATCACTTCTGTAAAAATCCACTTCTTTATAATTCCTGGAACCAAAGGTGGGATTATAGAGAAGTATGACTGTATTAATCAAAAAAAAAAATAATAAAAGTCAAAGCCTACTAGTGAAACAATTTTAATAGTCAGGAGAAATTTATCAAATGAAGAATAAAAACTTTTTCTTATTGTTTTTCAGTTGTTAGTAATTTATTCTCCAATTGACAATGGAGTCAAGTTAGTATAAAGTGACATAATAGATGAAAATTAAGCAACTCTTCATTTTTTTTTCAATTGTTATCCCAATGTTATAAATTTTCAAATATCAAATAATTTATTGAGAAATTGATTTACATTTCACTTATTGCTTCAATTTTTCTTACCATTGACAAGCATTTATCCAAAAATTTCAAAAAGAGAAAACTCTGGATTGACCACCATCATGTGATTTAATATAACAGAGAATTATATTAATTATATTAATAATCCTATCCCCAAAATAATTATAGAACGTCATTATTCCGTAAATTTTTAACAAGTCCGCAATAAGAAAATGTTTTTGACGCGTCATCTTATGATAATTTTGATAATTCTTAATAATTCTTGATAATTCTTCATAATATCTGATATGCTGAATAAAATAAGATCTCTAAAAAGATCAGTGAGACTTCTCTTTTTTGGTCTCAACCATCAAAAAAGCATTTTGATTTGTTGTTTATTTTTATCATTATTAAATATAGGAATCATTATTTAATTAAGTTTATTTCTTTCCTCTAATCATTTATCCTGATCACATCATTTTAAATATTATATATCTTTACTATATAATTTTTACAAATATAGTATAAAGTAAATAAATAAATTGGCATAATATAAAAAAATGGAAGAAAAAAATAAAAGAAGTTTCAAACCAGTATTAAAAACAACAAAAACATCCATTCCTTTTGACGCGTCTTCATCATCCACTATCCCTGAACAACCTCTTATCGAAATACGATCTATACCAAAAACAATTAACGTATCAACTCAAAAGCGTCAAAAAATTCAAAAAGTGTTAGATGGTCAAGTGAAAAAGATTACTTCCCCACGTAAAAAGAAGATTGTTTCCGATATCTCTATTCCAATAATCGAATCTGGAGAATCTAATCCATCGGAAGTTACAACACTGCAGGCAGAGAGTAGTATTGTTGTTACACAACCATCATGTTTGGTAAATTCATTATCGTTGAAAGGTAACGTTGACAATGGTCAGTCTTCGACTTCTGTTGCACAAGAGTCGACCATCACTGCTTCTTTGCCTCCGGAAAAAACTTCAAAAAAACGAAAGAATAAAGTAGCAGCTTTAACTGATAACGTAAATAATGGTGGTGAAGTAGAAAGTAAATCTAGAAGGACAAGGAAACCCAAAGAACCTAAAGATCCTAATGCTCCAAAGAAACCTGCGAATTCTTATTTATTCTTTTCAATGATAAAAAGGTATTTAATTATTTTTAATTATCCAAACGCGTTTACATAAATATTATTATTATTATTATTATTCCATTTATATTCCCCATATATTATATGTATTTCACTAATAGGAATGAGATAAAGGATAAAAATCCAGATGTGGACGCAAAAAAGATTGTTGCTTTGATAGGAGAAGCTTGGAGAAAATTATCCGAAGATGAAAAAAAAGTAAGAATTGATCTTTATGGCGCAGTATTTAAAAAAATATAATTAATTAAGAACGCGTTTTTATTTATTTATTTATTTAGCCATATAAGGAAATGGTCGAAACAGCAAAGAAAAAATATGAGGAAGATCTAAAAGTTTATAATGCTGTGCGTATTAATGGTGTAGTTATAAAATTATTTATCAAATAAGGTTACTTTATAACTTTTATAATACACTATATTTTTTAAAAAAAAAAAAATTTTCAATCTAGTCCATTAATAAAAATCCGTTTGTGGATAACACAAATAATAAAAATAAAAATCAAGCAAGCACATCGCGTGATCAGAAAGAATTAAGTCAATCTTTAGTACCTACGCACAATTTGATTGAACCTATTGAACCTAGCATCACGTTATGCAATCAACAAAATGATCTTTTACAAATATCTTCTTCCCAAGTTTTATCTTTAGTCGGTGGTGTTTCTCTTGTTGGATATACGACATATGGACAACAACAACAACAAGAACAACAAGAACAACAAGAACAAGAAACTTTATTGGAAATGCCGGATAATGGTAATAGTAATAAGTTAGATTTTCAATACCAAAATATGGAAATTTTTGATGATTATTTTATTCAATATCTCAATCCAAATATCCACATTTCGACCACAATATTACCATCATTTGAAAAAAATATTCGAGAATATTCAGATAATCAAAATATTTTTCGGAATTTTTCAATGACGCAAGGTGAACAACAAATTCAAAATGTTAGACAAGATTTATTACATTGTCAACCTTATGAACCTCCTACTATCGTACAACCAGATCGAAACACAAATCTCTTCTTATTCTCAACTGGAGAGAGAACGCTAGAACTTAATAGAGAAACGATACTTTCTAATGCAATACCTCATTATGATTCAAATTCTTTTAATGCATCAATCGTTCATCAAACTTCTACCGAAAATTCATTGCTTTGTCAATCATTTAAACCCATATTAGAAAACAAGACCGAAAAGAATCATGAATCTATTAGTGATGGTCAAAATGTGAATAATAGTTCCCCAGTCATTATTCATAGTCAAGAACGTGATTCAGTCAACCTTCTTTTTCAAGCGTTTGAACCACCACCACCACCTCCTAATATCAATAATAAAACAGCCGAAAATAGTTCTGATTCTTGGTATCAAAATAGTCATCGAATTCAATATTTAATGGCGTCTCCAACTTCTGCACATCAATACACAAGGGACGCAGCGATATTTCAAGGATATCAAGAAATGTCAAACGCACCACATCATCAAAATCAAATGGCCCAAGAAATGACTACTCATCAACAAACGACGCATGAAATCATCGATTCAAACATAACGAAATCAAACTTTTCCCAATATCTGCATCAACAAGATGCATCGCAAGGGGAAGAATTATCGTCTCAACAAGTTAATCAAGTTAAACAAGTTAATCAAGTTGATCAACACCAAATTCATCAAATGCATCAAATGCATCAAATAATGCCTCTGAATACGGAACACAACAGCAATATACAAATAAAGCATCATGAGTAATCCACAATTGATGAATAATTTTTACACTTCATAATTCTAACGATTCGTTATCAATGAATTGGTCTAACGAAATTAAGGTACCAAATATGACTAAAGCTACTGATATATCCCACTGATTTAAAGAATGATAATCTAATGATAACAGCATTTTGCAAGAAACTTTCGTTGTTGTATTAATAATAATAATATTTGAAAAATTATTATAATTTATAATTATGCGTGAATAAAATCATTATTATTTCATAGCATTATTTTAGAAAGTAATTTCTTTTGATGCCCCAGTTTAAAAAAATATTTAAATTTATGACATTTCCGTATCAAACTAAATGACGAATGTGACCTTTTTTTTCAAAAAATAAATTTTTTTAAATTAATTATTTTTTTTTTTTTTTTGTGGCTTTTTAAACATCCATCTTCAATTGGAATTAGATCATCCGATATATTCGAGAAATTTATCTACTGTGCAACTTGACTAATCTTTTTTTTTTTTCGAACCAAACTTTTTTTTTTATTTCAAACAAAAATTAATACATTAATTTCAATATAATGTCCACGTTAGATGCATCACAAATATCTTCTCGACTGCTTAATGACCCAGTTTTGATTAATAAAAGATTAGATCGATGGAAAATTCGTCTTCAAAATCTTACCGAAATTCAACTTCCAACTGATTACCCTCGACCATTACCACCTAAAGTTGTTGAGGCCATTAAAATATTGAATTTACCAGAAACCACTGCATTAGCTGTCTTACAACTTTCACTGGCGATTCCATCCGATACCGTCTCTATATCTTCTCCTTTTAATATAACCACATCACCAGATAATGATACATTTTATGATAATCCTTCACCATTTATAATTCTTTTGGCTGCATTCACATTATTATTATATCGATATACGGGAGATGAAGATATCGTTGTTGGATCATCGTCTGATACTAGGAATCCTCTTGTGTTAAGAATAAATGTTAGTCCCAAAGATACTTTTGAACAAATTGTACATAAAATTCAGCAAGTATGTTATCATTCAAATTTTAAATTTCACATGTTTAAAAATTTTATTTGATAAATATTATAAAATTAGGTATAATACTTGAAATGCTTTTGTTAATTTGAAATGAATAAAAAAAAAAAGGTTGAAAGAGAGGCTACTGCAGATGAAGTTCCGTTCAATTTATTATTATCTTCATTATTTAATGATAATAAAGAAAGTCAGGAATCCACCAAGAGAAAGGATTCACTCTCAAATCTAGCATTAGTAAATTCACCATTATTTCGAGTACGATTTTTTAATCAAACTGATATGCCCGAAATTCCTGTCTTACAAGCAACTTCTTCAACTACTGATCTCACCGTGACAATCACTTCACACTCTTCATCTTCTCTACGCCATGCACTTTTACCTGCCATTGAAATTCTCGTTTCTTATAATCAAATATTATTTTCGGAGAAAAGAATATCTCATATATTAGATCAACTTGTTGCCATCATTAATTATTCGGCTCAACACAAAGAAACATGTGTTGCCGAAATTCCAATTACAACTAAACAATGCATTGAAATTATTCCTAATCCAAATGCGGATTTAAAATGGTCAGAATTTCAAGGTGCCATTACAGATATATTTTCAATCAATGCCAAAAAGATTCCTGATAATAGATGTGTGGTGGAATCCATTGATCATAATGAAGAGGAAAGAGTTTTCACTTATCGTCAAATTAATGAAGCTTCAAATATTTTGGCACATTATTTAATTTCAAATGGAATTGAAAGGGAAGATGTAATTATGATATACGCTTATCGTGGTGTAGATCTTGTGATTTCTATTATAGGTGCACTTAAAGCTGGTGCCACATTTAGCGTTATTGGTAAATTGTCTAGATTTTATTTATTTATTTATTTATTTTATATATTTTTATAATATATATGAGTATATATATATATATATTGTTTGAGTTATAATTAGTGTTATAATTTTAATACAAACCAATATTTTTTCTTTGTAATGACAAAAAAAGATCCGGCATATCCACCTGATCGTCAAAACATATATCTTTCTGTCGCAAAACCTTCTGGACTTGTTATTCTCAAACGTTCCGGAATCATACATTCAACTGTTCATGAATATATTCGAGAAAATTTAAGCATTAAATGTGAGATTCCGGCTTTAGAAATATTGGATGATGGATTTCTTAGAGGAGGGATCAATGAATCTGGAAATGATGTTTTGGATATAGTTCGGGATCGTGCTTCACTTGATGTTGGTGTTGTAATTGGTCCGGATAGTATTGGTACCCTGAGTTTTACTAGTGGAAGTACTGGAATTCCAAAAGGTAATTAATAATCTATTAATTTGTTTTAATTTAAAATTTTAGATTGCTTTATTTAATTTTTAATAATCCATTCATTTTAATCTATTCATTGTTAATCCATTCATTTTTAATCTAGGTGTAAGAGGGAGACATTTTTCTCTCACACATTATTATCCATGGATGGCACAAGAATTTGGTCTGTCAGAGAAAGATAGATTTACTATGCTCAGTGGAATTGCTCATGATCCAATTCAGCGCGATAGTTAGTACTAATTAATTTATTATTTATTTTCTTAATTTATATTTATTTATTTTATCAATGAAATTTAACGCCAATCAAAAATTTTTTATATAGTTTTTACACCTTTATTCTTTGGTGCAGAATTACATATCCCAACTAGTGAGGATATTGGTATACCGGGAAGATTGGCCGAGTGGATGGCAAAACATCAAGTGACTGTCACACATTTGACCCCAGGTTAAATATTATTTATTAGTAAAAATTTTTTGGAGAGGAAAGATTCCTTATGGATCTTATTAAAAATAAATTTACTTCTCAAAAAAAAAAAAAAAAAAGTTACAAATGATTATTTTTTTTAAATCGTTGATCTATTAAATTCATTTATATATATATATATATATATATTAATCCTAATAATTAAAAAATTAATTAATTTCAGCTATGGGACAATTACTTTCTGCTAATGCAGATACTCCAATACCTTCTCTTCATAATGCATTTTTTGTCGGGGATATTCTTACAAAACGTGATTGTTATAGGCTACAAAGTATTGCCTCAAATACACAAATAATTAATATGTACGGTACCACAGAAACCCAACGGTCGGTATCATATTTTACCATTCCACCTTTAGCATCCGCACCAGCATTTTTAAAAGTACAAAAAGATATTATGCCCGCTGGTAGAGGAATGCAAAATGTTCAATTATTAGTGGTAAATAGGCATAATAAAAATTTATTATGTGGAGTTGGAGAGATTGGAGAAATTTATGTCAGAGCCGGAGGACTTGCCGAAGGATATTTGGAATTGGATGATATTACCAAAGAAAAATTTTTAAATAATTGGTTTTCGGATGGAACGATTTTAGAATCACCCGAAGATGAAGGGAATGAGGAATGGAGAAAATTTTGGAAAGGAAAGAGAGATAGAATGTATAAATCTGGTGATCTGGGAAGATATCAATCAGATGGAAATGGTAATTTTAAATTTATTATATATGAATAATTTTTAGAGAACATTAAATATTTAATTATTTATTATTTTAAATTATTTATATATATAGTGGAATGCGTAGGTCGAGCTGATAATCAAATTAAAATACGCGGATTCCGAATTGAACTTGGTGAAATTGATACACATCTTTCACAACATCCATTTGTTAGAGAGAATGTCACATTAGTACGAAGAGATAAATACGAAGAACAAACACTCGTTAGTTACTTTGTACCTATTGAAAATGAGGAATCTGAAGCATTTTTAAGTTCAAACGATGAAGCTGAAGAAGATAATGAAGAAAAAGGAATAACTAAACGAAAATATCGTAAATTCATAAAACAAATAAGGGATTATTTGAAACAAAAATTACCAAGTTATAGTGTTCCTTCAGGTATGGAAAAAAAAAACATTTTATTGTTTTATGTATATATAATTTATAATAAATAATTTATTAAATTATCTAAATATATTCATTACATTTTATTTGTCTTTGATTTTTGAAGTATTTGTTCCACTAAAAAAGATGCCATTAACACCAAATGGAAAGATTGATAAACCTGCATTACCTTTTCCTGATACCCCACAATTTTCATCTTCGACGTCAGATACATCAAATAATGTTTTAAAAACCAGTATGCAAAAAATGAATCCAGTAGAACAAAAAGTACATACTATTTGGTCAAAATTACTTCCCAACCCTCCGACACCTTATATTCCATTAGATGAGAATTTCTTTGATCTTGGAGGACATTCAATTCTAGCCACAAGGTTGATTTTTGAACTTCGTAAAATATGTAATGTAGATATTCCATTAGGAATGATTTTTGAGCAACCAACAATTCGAGGTCAAGCCATGGAAATTAATAATATATTACAAAGTGATTTAAATATTGTGATGACTGATAACGTGACGGCTGAAACAACTGTTGATAATAAGAATAAAGATTCTATTAAAAAAGAATTTAATTATGCTGCAGATGTTGATTTATTAGCATCCGAATATCTTTTAGAAAAATATGATCCCTTACCAGAAAATTATGAACGAAAGACAATATTTGTTACAGGTGTTACAGGTTTTCTTGGAGCTTTTATACTTTCTTCTTTACTTTACTTGAATGAGACAAAAGTAATTGCGCATGTTAGAGCTCAAGATAAAGAGCTTGCAATTGAAAGAGTGAGGAAAAGTTGTATATCACATTTAGTATGGAATGAGGAATGGTTAACAGAAGGTAGATTGGAAGTTGTTAATGGTGATTTAGGGAAAGATAGATTAGGTATTGAAGAAGAGGAATGGAATTCATTAGCTGAACGTGTAGATGTAGTTATACATAATGGAGCTTTGGTGAGTTATTTTTAGTTATATTATATTTTGTATTATTTACAAATAATTATAGTTAATTTCAATTAATTAATTTAAATAAAAATAATGATTATTTATTTATTTATTTATTAAAAATAAAGGTACATTGGGTATATCCATATAATAAACTCAAAGCTGTCAACGTACTTGGAACATTACAATGTATCAAACTCGCATCGAAACATCATACCAAACCTTTTAATTTTATTAGTTCTACATCTATTTTTGATACAGAACATTATGTCTCATTAAGTGATTCTTTAATTGAAAAAGGTGAAAAGGGAATAAGTGAAGATGATGATTTAGAAGGTAGCAGATATGAATTAAGAACAGGATATGGTCAAAGTAAATGGGTTGCGGAAAAATTAATATTAGAAGCACGAAAGAGAGGTTTACCAGCTACTATTATAAGACCTGGCTATATTGTTGGACATTCTAAAACTGGGGGTAAACTTTCTATATTTTATATTTTATTATAGTTTTCTCTCTTTTTTTTTTTTTTAGTTTAATGAAAATTATTATTTAACCTTTTTTAACGATTTTATTATTAGTCACGAATACCGATGATTTTATTTGGCGTTTAATTAAGGGTTGCGTTCAACTAAAACTTGTACCTACTATACATAACATAATTAATATGTGTCCCGTGGATTATGTTTCTGAATGTGTTATCCGAATTTCACTTTCTCCCATTGCTCCTTCTAAAGGTGTATTTCATATTACTCATCCGATCAACCCTTTCAGATTTGATGATTTGTTTAATTCTTTACCACTTTATGGTTATATCGTTTCAAAGACCGAATATATTGTTTGGCGTAATGAATTGATGGAATTTACTTTAAAATCTCAAGATAATGCATTATATCCTCTTTTACATTTTGTATTGGATGATTTACCTACAACCACCAAAGCACCACAATTAAATAATTCAAACACAATAGAAGTAGTTGGAATGGAATGTGAACCAATTTCCGAGAGATTGATGGGAATTTATCTTGGATATTTAGTTAAAGTTGGATTTTTAGATAAACCAGATCTTAGAGGTGGATCAAGAATTGGAAATGAAAAAGTATTGGATTTACCTGATGTTGTGGTAGCATTAGAAGGTATTGAGGTTTTAAAGAGGAGTGGTAGAAATTAATAAATTAATTGTATTTTTTATTCTTTTTTTTTTTTTTATTAAATTTATAGTTGTATTTTTTATAGTTGTAATTCTTATTTTTATTTTATTTTTTATTTTATTGTTTTACTGAATTTATTATTATTATATTTTTATTGTTTTTTTTTTGGAAACGATTAAACTTGTCAAACTGGGAAATCTTAATATATATATATATTATATTTTATATTTTTAATGATAAAAACTTTCTTTTTTCGTTAATAAATAAAAAAAAACTAAACTAAATATTTAAATATATTTAAATGAATGCATTATTTAATTTTTCTTTCATTACCATCAATTATAACATTTCCCACCAAGAATTCACTGAATAAAAATAACAATATCAAAAATAAAGAAAATAAAGAACTAATTACAAAATGACTAATAGTAGTTCCAATCTCTAACCAACTTCCATAATCTCTTACTAAATAAAAGAAATTTAGAGTCATTATATCACAAGTTGATAAAACCAATAAGAATAAACTGAATGAAGGTAAATTTAAAGATTTGTTAATAACTCCAAATACTGAAGAAACTATAAAAAATGGAATAAATATTTTAAATAAAAGTAATCCTCCCATTAAAAATGGATCAAAAATAGTGGTTAAACGATAAACACTTTGTAAAGAAAAACTAGCTAAACTTGCAACATTTCCTGTACCAAAAAATGCTACTTTTATGAAGAACAAAAAAATTAATGATATACGACAATCTAAAATTTCCAATTTTCTAGTTTTAGAAGATGTATTGTTATTATTATTATTACTATTACTATTATTTTTGCTATTGTTATTATTACTACTACTATGTAATGAATTTAATGACTTTTGTTTATTTGACTTGAATATTAATTGTTCAATTCGTTGCCATAGAAAAAGTGTTATTGTCAAAAAATAATAAAACAAAACTTCATAAGAAATACTAAGAATAATAAATACTGGAGAAAATGCCAATGTTATGATGGTTAATCTTTGTAGGTGATGTTGAGGAATATTGAAACCGAAACCAAATACAGATGGAGTTACGGTTGATATCACTAAGAAATAAGAAATTCGTAAATGTTAAAAGAAATTTAAAAAATGACTTCATAAAATAAATATAAATTATATAAATTATATATATTATATAAATTATATAAATAGTTGAACAACATACCTAATATCATCCATGCAATTATTTGATTTAAAAAGGGTAAACCAGATTTTTCTTTTAATTTATTGGTTGTGTCATAAACAGTTATTAAGCTTAGAATAATAAGTATTATCTGAAATTTTTAATTAATTAATTATCAATTATTAATTATTAATTATTTATTATTAATTATATTATTTTATTAAATATTAATTAATTTGATACCTGAAATCCAATAATTTTCTTGGAATTTTGTTCAAAATTTAGATTTGAACTTTTCCAAAGTGCAATAATGCCGGTTGTTGTAATTAATAATCCTCCAGTCATTCTACAAAAAAAAAATGGTAAAAATATATTTATTAAAATGTTTATTAAAAATGTTTATTAAATGTTTATTAAAATATTTCAATTGAATAAAAAAGAAAATAACCAATAACAGGGGGAAATTTCAATACTTACAATAAGGTTATATCTTCTCCCTTTTCTACTGGAAGTAAAGTAAATACACTTGATGCTAAACAACTTATAAACCATGACATAAATAGAATCACATTTTGAGATCGAATTTCTGATGATATGAATAATGGCCAAAATGCGAGAAGTCCAAAACAAAAACTCAAAACACTTCGTTCAAAATAACTGTAAACCTATTATATATTATAAATATAAATATAAATAATATATAAATAATATATGAATAATATATAAATAATATATAAATAATATATAAATAATTTATAAATATCCACATTAAATATTTTAAATTGTCACTTACAAAAACTTCCAAGACTAAAATATAACCAATAATGTAAAATAAAGAATTTTTATGATTTAAAGAATTTTTATAAGCATCAAAAAATATATTTTTATCTAATAATATTTCACGCCAAAAATACACTGGAAATATTACATATGTATAATATGTTCCGGGTGATTTTTGGACATAAAGGAGGCCAATCGAAAGAATCAATGAAATGGCAGTAATAATATTTATCTGAAATATTCAATAATATAATTAATAATATAAAATAAAATTGTAATTTAATTAAGAATGTAATTATCAAATATTAATTCAACTTACATAAACATTTATTGAATCCACTTTCTTTTCAATGAATTTTTCTTCAAATGCATATTCTTTAAGAGTAAATTTAAGACTATACAAAATCCAACCTAAATAACCAGCTGTAACAATAGATCTTAACATCAGCCAATCATATCTATTATAAATAAATATATTAATATAATATTATATATAATATGCTTATTAGAAATTAGAACTGAACTGAATTACGCACGTTTGGAAATATCTTAATCCTTCTAATGAAAGTTTAATTAATATCACGCATAAAGCTTCTGCTTCTTCATATTGTTCAGCATTAATTAGATTTTGTATCTTTTGAACCATTACCTCGTGATTATGGGTTGAATTACTCAAACCTGGAAATTCTTTAAACCATAATTTCGTTTTTTTCTTATATTCTAGAAATTATAAAAATATTTAATATTGTGAAAATCATATAAAAATTAAAAAAGTATTTATTAGAACTCATCTTTCATTTATCATTTAATTAAAGAGTTCATTTTTTTTTTTTGCTAACCATATTTTACTTTATATTGTTCCAATATTTCTTTAGCATTTATAAAAGCACTTTGAGCTTTAAATATCGGAGTATTATTAAGATACCCTAAAGGTAATTCTCCAACCGAATTTACAGGATAATTTATTCCAATTAATGATGCCTATAATAATGAAATAATGAAATCATTTTCTTAAAAAGAAAAAATTTTTGAAAATTTGAAATAAATAAATAAATACCATTAAAGGAGCAATATCTGCTTGTAATATATCATTTCTTTGAATATTATCTAATTCCCATTCCTTTGAAAATTCATCATGACCAATTGGATTTAATTTATTAGGTTTATTAATTCCTGCTCCCCATGCTATTATTGGAGTCCGCGTGTTATCCGGATGTCCATCTCCATGATTTCCTATAATATTTCATAAAAATTAATAATTTAAAAATTTAAAAATTTAATTAAATAAAATTAATAATTTAGAAGATTTAAATTTTACCTCGATTGCTCATTCCATGATCAGCAGTAAATATATAAGAAGTTCTTTTATCATTTCCATAAAAGTCTTCAATAGTTTTAACAATTTTACTAATTCCTTCATCAACAACTTTAATATTATTCAAATATTCTTTAGAATGTGGTCCATAAGCATGCCCATTACTATCTAATCCAAGAAGATGTAAAAATATTACAATTTGATCATCATTAAGTTTATTATATAAATTTAAATCTGTTGTCGAATTTGCAAGAAGTTGAGTAAATTGTTCAAAGACCCAAGTGTCTAATTTGCTAGCATCTATGAAAATAAAAATGAAAGACCAAATCTTTTAATCAATATTATAAATTTATCATAAATAAATTAAATTACATTTTATATTAAATATTACCTTCAGCAAAATTTTCACTTTCAGAACCATACATTATTGTTTTAACACGATTTGGATCTGATGCACCTTCTGCAAACATTGGTAATATATCAGGTGATCCAAATGACCAAGTGTAACGACTTTGATTGAAAACAGAATCAAATTCAACTGGATTCGTTTTCCAGCCTAATAATAATAATAATAATAATAATAATAATAATAAATGTCGATTATTTGATTTTTTTTTTTTGATTATAGGGAATGTGATGTGAATTGGCTTTTACAACTTTATCAAATTGATAATAATCAAACCTTTAGTCACTGCACTAACATCTTCATAAAATCCAGCAATAATTGCCACATGACCAGGTCTTGATTCAGTTGGTACTCTTGTATGAGATATCCCCCAAGTTCCATGATTTTGTACTATATCTCTTAAAAATGGTGCTAATGTTATTAATTTCTCTTTATCATTTTCATCCTGATAAAGCTGATATAATTTATCTGCCCTTAATCCATCACCTAAAAATAATTGAGAGAATATTAATTAATTAAGAGATAATTTAGAATTAATGTTTAATTAATATTTAATTAATTAAATGTTTAATCAATATTTAATTAATGTTTAACTGTATTAACTTACCGACAAATAAGAAGAGTCTTTTGGCTGGTGGTTGTATATCAACCTGTCCAAATATAAAATATTAAAATATAAAATATTAAAAAAAAAAATTTCAATTAATTTAAATTCTTTCTTAAAAAAAGAAAGAATTCATTAATAACATTAATAAATACCTTATACTGGGTCATGCCATGAACTAAGGGAGACGTAAAATATATGTCGAATATACTCCAAATATACGTCACATGAAAAAATAGACCAATAAATAAAAAAAAATTTCTTGTGGTCTTGGCCATTAAATAAATTGTATTGTTTTAATTTTTTGATACCAAATTTGGATTCGGAAAGAACTCGCTTCTTTATAAAGGTTCTGGAGATCTGATATTTGGCCAATAAAAAAGATTGAACTGAATTTAACATGATTGGATCACTCTTTTTTTTTTTTTTGTTAATGAATTAATTAATTTAAACATTTAAATTTAGTCAATTTTAATCAATAATTGTGCGGGGAAAAGGTAATTTGTATCCAAGGCAATTTGGATTACTAATTTCTGTAAAAAAATATTCAAGCCATTTGGATGATGAAATCAATCTTGAAAATTTTTTCTATTATCTGTTATTTTCAAAATTAATAAGCACAAGTAAAGTTTTTAATATATTGTTGCCGATAAAATATAAATATGGAAGTATTTGGATCTCGGAAATTTCTATAATATCTCTATCCATATAACGAGAATCCCTTTTTGAGAATTAATTTTGGAAAGCGAAAGGGTTAGATAACGCTTAACTAATACTGTATAAATAGATTGATTACTTTATGGAGTTAATTAAAATATTTTGTACACTCCAACTCTTTTTGATAATGAAATAAATGATATACATTTTGCATTTGTTCAATGAATTATTCTCGTTTTAAATAAACAAAGTTCACGTGTCTCCCCAAACTTCGAAAAAATTTCATTATGTATATATATGGTAAACATTAACTTACGAGGGTTATAATTAAATGTCACGGAGGTTCACGTAATTTGAAGTATGTTATGTTAACGGGGAAAACACGCTTTTTGTTTGATTAAATAGAAAGAAATGAAAAAGCAAGGAGAACGAAATAGTATTTGTTTATATTTGCTTAATCATGATCTTTCCTTTGTTGTTTTGATTATTCACAATTTTTCAATAATTCATTTTTTTTCTGAACATAAAGTATTATTTAAACTAAATAAATAATAATTCTTTTAAGAAAATAGAAAAACTCTTGATTTTTTTTTCTTAATAAAAAAAGATTGCACCAATCCAAATTGCATAACGTCGTTAGGAAATTTAATACCATTTTTATCTCGGACACTTCGAAACAGAAACTACGACGCGGTGACATTTAATAACCCCTAATAGAAACATCCGCAGAAAGCCCATATTATGTAAGTTTACGCCTTATTTGATATTTTTATATTAAATATAATAAATATAATAAATATAAATACCTCACACGAAATTTTGTTTATTTACGTTTCGCTGTTTTTATCTTTTCTTTGTATTATATATATTTTATTAATTATAACAATTTTAATGAATTTTTTTTTTTTGGCCTTTTTCTAAACGCTATTCGATAATATCGTATCAATAATATTGTATCAATAATATCGTATCAATAATATCGTATCAATAATATCGTATCAATAATATTAACAGTATTGACAAAAATAAGCATTAACATATCTAAAAAAAATAAATCTTATCAATTCTTCACTAAATATTTATTTTTTTTATAAATATTAAACCAATTTTATTAATTTTTCACCGAGAATTCAAAATCAAGATTATTATCATTCTATAAAAATATCATAAAAAATTATGGATCGATATCGTAATACAAGGATACCTTCTCAACCATCTCCTATTTCTATCCCAGCTTCTTTGAAATTCCATTTACTTTTACCCATATTTACTGTTCTTACGGCATTTGGACCTGGTTTTCAATCAATTATTACTTTTACCTGGCTTTGGTTTACTTTATCCATATTTTATGTTCGTCACATTACTAGATGGTGGTATATATTTTTTTATTATATGTTTGTAAATATTGGAACTTTAATTGCTTTTATGGCCTCCGTGAAAGCGGAAGTACCCAATGCATACGCTATAACCTTCGCAATAGGTATGGTAATTAATTTATTGGGTCTCACCAGTCTTTTGATGGATCGATTTGCCCAACGCGCATTTAATTCAAAAGGGTGGGCAAGAGTAATGGTATTTCCTTGTGTTTGGACGGGTAAGAAGCCTATATAATTTATATAATTTTTACATGCTATTTGATAGTTACATGTTTTTTAAAGTATTTCTCTTTTTTTTTTTTTAAAAAAAAAAAAAAAATCAAATTACCAAGGTTTATGGACGTTATTTACCTATACTTGGATTTTAGGAGATTGGGGAGATTACGCGTACGTATATTAACCAACAATTTTTATCAATAATTTAATAATAATTTAATTAATAATTCATTTAAATATTTATAATAGTTTTACGTTTTTAGGAATAGAAGAAATATTGCAACTCGCTTCTTTCACTGGATTAAGTGGAATAAATTTCATATTAGCTTGGAGTGGACCAATAGGTTCTGATATTTTAGTAAATTGGTTATCCACTTATGCTTATCCCATTAATAGTGAAACTAGTACAGCCAATACAATCGATGATATAAATGCGGAAGAGGATCATATTAGTAGAACTGATGATGTTTTAACTGCACAAAATAATCGTAAACAACGTAGACTGAATTTCACGATACCTGCAGTATTTTCTTCTTTATTCATTTATTTAACGATAATTTTCCTGGTCATCACTTATGGATCTATCAGAATGTCAACAGCTTTAATACCTTTCTTTCAACGAAGTGTTGCAGAATTTGCTCCTACATCATTATTAAATGTGGGATGTGTAATTCGTCAAGAACAAATTACACCTGATAATTCCGCTTATATTCAAACCACACAAGAATTAGCAAAAAATGGAAGTAAAATAATACTATGGACAGAAGGTTCTGGTACCATAACAAATAATTCAGAACTTGAATATGTAATTTCATCGATAAAAAATATTTCTCGTACATATAGCGCATATGTAGGAGTTGCATATATTTTTCTTGGTGAATCAAAAGAAACTTCATATAATAAATTAACAGTTATTTCATCATCAGGAGAAATTGTAATGGATTATCAAAAATCACACTTGGTACCATTTCTTGAGACTGTTAGATTCAGTAGCGGAAAGGCTGAATTACCAACTTATAATAGTGAAGAATATGGAGTTATTGGAGGGGCGATTTGTTTTGATTTTAACTTTCCAGGATTTATTAGTCAAGCATCAAATAAAAAAGTTAATTTGATGTTGGAAGCTAGTAATACTTGGGTATGTCTTCTAAATAAATTTTATAAAGTTTTTAATAAATCTAATTAATAAATCTAAATAATTAATTAATAAATCTAATATTAAAATAAATCTAATTAAAAAAAAAATATATTCTTATTAATATATATATATATATATAAAGGGTAATTATTTTTCACATCTATTATTCAAATTCTTTCGTTTCTTTCTCCTTCCTTCCCTTCTCCAAAAATAACTATATTCTTATTATTCATCTTAAATTTGATTTTAAGGTCCGGTTGGAGTTCTTCATTCCCGATCAAATGCAATTCGTTCAATTGAGAATGGATTTACTTTGATAAGATGTAATGGCGATGGAATCTCAGGTGTATGGGGTCCCCAAGGACAAAATTTTCATTCCATACCTACCACCAATTTACAAGGTTCCGTTTCAAAACAAACATCTTTTACATTCCAAGTGCCATTATATTCACGAGTCAACACAGTTTACGGTGTATTTAAGGATACATTTGGATGGATTTGTTTGGGAATGAGTGGTATATTTTTAATTTGTATGATAATATTGGAGAAAGGAAGTTTAAGGTGGAGAACATTTGTAAAGAAATGGTTGTGACTACATGATGGAAGAGATAAAATAAAATTCAAAATTAAAAAGAAAGAATAACAAGAATAGAAAATATTCTTAATTAAAAAATACTTCTTATATTTCTTATTTTAACTGTTCTATTAAACAACATACAACGAACAGATCATATATACATATATACACATCATTAAAGATTAATTAAAGTAGTTATAAAATATTCAACAAAGTTTTTCATATTCACTAAAACCGAAATTTTTAATTAATTCTTCTAACTTATAATGTTCCAGTCTTTCTATTAATTCAATCTTTTCATCTTCTTTTAATGTATACATAAAAGATGTACTAAAATATAATTCCATCATTTTCAAAGGTTTTTTCGAATTAGATCGTAAAATTTTTTCCCTTCGTTTTCTCAAATAATTTGATAATGGTAACATATTACGTATTTCCCATGCGAATCTAAATTCTATTCTCCACAATTTCAATAATCTCGGTTTCATTTCTGATTCAACTTCGTTAATCACATTAACTAATTCTTCTATTTTTGCAATATAATATTCACCTTCATTCTCATAACTACCAATAGTTAGATGTTCTAATTTGGGACATGAAATTAACATATATTTGAAATCTGCTGCGTCTCCAATTGTAAACCATGTTGTAAGAAATTTTATATTTGGACAATATCTTGCTATTGATTGATTATATTGTCGTATTAAGTGAAAATCTGTAACATTGTTAATCTCAAATGATATTTTTTCTATTAATCCATTAGTTCTTTCAATAAAATTTATTAAAATATCCAAAGGATTTGATACGTGATGACATTCTAATACTCGAAGTTGAGGAAAACTTGAATATTTTAAAATATCTTCATATTTTCCTTGAAATCCGATATTCAAATTTTGTAAATTTTCAAAGGTTGCTATGGTAACAGGTGAAATTCCTTTAACAAAACTTCCTCCGATTTCAAAATATAATAATGAATGAGCTTGTGATGACATAGCACTAGAAATCTTTGAATATCTGTTATATCTACTATTCCCATGTTCTTCACTTCCTTTAGTGATAATCTTTAAATATTTCAATTTGGTTTGAGCCTCTATCAAAGTTGTTAAACCATCGTTATCATAACAACAATCCTCAATAATTAATCTTTCAAGATTCTGACAAATTTGTGCCATTCGATAATAAGTTCCAGAAAGTAATGAGGTATCACAATGTAATTCACATAGATTTAAGAAAATTCTTTCTGCGCCTTTAAAAAAAGGTAAAGGAATATCAATATCATGAAATTCGAGACGTTCTAATGATTGACAACGACCGACATACATCTTGTATATCTCTTGTTTTATCAAATAAAAATTATAAGTTTCACTTTGACCTAACAAATTCGTTGAATCATTTCTATTGTCGGAAATTTGAATGGCGGATACTTTAGATACATTATATTCTGGTAAACATGTAATTAATTCTGTCATGAGGTTTATCTGAGAATATACAAGATTTCTACATAAACTAACATAATCAAATAATGGAGGTTTTGAGGGTAGAGGAATAAATATTCCATGTTCTTTTAAAATTTTTCTAGACTTATCTGGTAAAAAAGAAATTATGATGTTAAGTAATTTAATTTCGTCCCTTTTTTCAACATATTTCCATGGATTTTCCCATATAATCGATGTAGTAACTTGAGCAAATTGTTTATTTATCACCAAACAAGATAGAAGAGATTTTATATCATCCAGAAAAAACTCAAGAATTAATTTTAATATTTCCGTTGAAAATGATGCCATTTCTCATTAATTATTTTCATTATATTAGATATCAGATATAGTCAATATTTTGAATTTTTGAAAAATCCAAAAAAAATCAATTTAGCTTAGCACTTTGCTACTTTTGTGTGATAAGCATTATCATGTGTGACACCGATCTAATTATATCCCTCCTCCTTATCTTTAAATGCGCAACGCATAATCATAATTCCGCGGATTTTTATCCTAGAGAGTTCATAATCGGGGGGAATGCATTCCTTTTTGGTCTCCTTCTAAAACCTTTCAATTTATCATGCATGTCGCCAATGATAAGTTGTAACCTCTAACTATTCCCCCCCTAAAATCTTTAGCATGAGATATCTTAATTGCATAATTGCATTCAAAGTGGATCTAAATACTTGGAGGAGTTTCCTTGGATCTTTAGAATAGAATTTAATCATTTGTATATGAGGTTTCTCTTTTTTATCAATGCAATAATTTTGAATATATGGCATCTTGGCGTTCATAGGTATTAACGGAAATAGTGAATAATGATGAAGGATTTTTCATTAATTAAATATATAATAATGTCAAGGAAAGTTTCCATGTGATTTGAAACAATTATTATATTTTCATGTGTTTGAAAATTTATGTATTAATAATTTAAAGATATTTTACGTATTTAATGTTAGCAATATCTCAAGATATTTATAGATTCAATATACATACGATAATTTCTTTAAAATTTACTTGTTTACTCAAATATAACTTTTTGAAATAAAATCTTGCTTTACCTAACTAAAGGTATATTGCTCTATATAGTTAAATGAACTTTGAATATTCGTTTTAAAGTTATCTGCGGATTTAAGTAGTCCACTATATTTTTTTGACAGAACCAACTATAAATATATCATAAGAAATATTGGTTTATTTATTAATTTTTTGACTTTTCTATTGCGTAAAAATTTACCACGTAACTTTAATTAAAAAAAATGCAATCATAAATAATAAAATTTGCCGTTAATTTTGTTCGAGAAATTTAAAAATTTAGAGATAATTTTTATACTGCATTTCATTATATTTGTCAATTATATTCAACTTTCATAAAATTTGGTAATTAATCAATGGATTATTTATTGAAAAGTTTTATGAGTATAAATGGAATATTTCAGAGTTGATTATCCCTCACTTTCATTTTTTTTTATCTTTATTACGAAGATGTCTTCTTTCTTAAAACTGGGTCTACTTCCGCGGATAAGATTTGTAAACATAAAATATAATTATTTGAACTTTAATTCTTTAAATATTGATGATTTATTATTCTTAATATTATTAAATAGTTATCTTTAGGGACAAGGAGAAATTTATTTATCAAGCAAAATATTCGGAATTTTCATCTATCAAGTTTTCAAGGTTTTCAAGGATTATATAAAGATTGGGTTTATAGTTCCGAAGTTGCTGAAGCTCTTGAAACAAGGAAACCTGTTGTAGCCCTAGAATCTACAATTATTAGCCATGGTATTTTTTCAAAGTAGTTATTGTTTGTTCTACAAAGAAAAATTTCAAACAAAAATATAATCTTCCTTTTTTAGGTATGCCATATCCATCAAATTTGCTGACAGCACTTGAGGTTGAAACCATTGTACGGAAAAATGGAAGTATACCAGCTACAATAGCTATTTTAGAAGGAAAAGTTCATGTTGGTAAGTCTTCAAAATTTGATGAATATCTTATTCAACAAAAGATCTTAATATTTATTATATAATTTATTTAGGGTTGACACTCGATGATATTGAAAAACTTGCAAAAATGGGACAAAAAGCAATGAAGACTTCTCGGCGTGATCTTGCATTTATCACATCACAGGTTTTGTCTAATTTGAAGTTATAATTAAATTTATTTTATAATCGATTTCTTATATATACATTTTGTCACATTTTTCATTAAGAATATAACAGGTGCAACAACTGTTGCAAGTACTATGTTCATTGCATACAAGGCAGGGATCAAAGTATTCGTTACTGGTGGTATTGGAGGTGTTCATCGTAATGGCGAAAATAGTAAGTTTTAATGCCTACCTGCCGTTATTTAAATTTTCCTTTTTTATTCCATAATTTGTAATTTATAATTAATTTAATTTAAAAAGCCATGGATGTGAGTGCAGATTTGACTGAATTAGGCAGAACTCCTGTGACAGTTGTCTGTGCTGGTGTAAAGTCAATATTGGATATTGAGAAAACCCTAGAATACTTGGTAAATATGTTTATCCTTTGAAATTTTGCCTTTATTCAATTCTTGTCAAGGAAAATAACATTCATTCAATTCTTATCAAGGAAACACAAGGTGTTGCAGTTACAACTTTTGGAGATACAACAGATTTTCCAGCTTTTTTTACCCCTAAAAGTGGTTTTAAGGTACTGTAATTTTTTATTTTTTTAGAACCAAGTTATAAAATTTAATATATTAATATATATTTTATTTTATAGTGCCATTCAAATTTGGCAACTACATTTGAGTGTGCTAAATTGATTCGTAAGATTCGTATTTAGTATCTTTTTTTTTTATTGCTTTTTTTTTAACAGTTTTAATTAATTTATTGTAATTTATCATATTATAGAAGCAAATTCAAAACTTAATCTCAATAGTGGAATTCTGATTGCTGTCCCCATTCCAGAAGAATATGCAGCTGATGCTGAAAAAGTAGAAAGTGCAATAGAATTTTCTCTGAAAGAAACAGTGTAAGTTCATTATTTGAATGTTGATGTTATTGATATAAAATCATGAAAAATTGTTTATAAGTTATTTTCTATTATTCAGAGAAAAAGGAATTACTGGTAAAGATGTTACTCCTTATTTACTAAAGAGGGTCGTCGAAATTACTAAAGGTGAATCTTTAAAATCAAGTATGTAAATTGTAAATTTAAAAATATATTCCTGTGTTTTTTTTTTTATTATTATTATATAAAATTTTAAAATTTCATAATTTCATATTATTAGATATTGCTTTGATAAAAAATAATGCTAAGATTGGAAGTCAAATAGCAAAAGACTTGGCATATTTAGAATCTGGAGTTAAAGACGAATCAAGTCATATAAGTTATGAGAATAAACCCAATCAAGTAAGTCAAGTTAGTCAAGTAGAAAAGCCAAGTCCTTTAGCAAATCAAGTAAGTTTTATATTTATCTCTGTGATTTATTAAAAAATAATAATATATAATAATTGATATTTTTATTATTTTTTATTAAATTTTAGTTGGTAATAATTGGTGGTGCAGTTGTAGATATTGTATCTAAGTTATTTCTTGTTGACGGATCACCTTCAGATCTAGATAAAATAGAGCATTATTTAAATACATCATCACCTGGACTTATTAAGAAAACTATAGGAGGAGTTGGAAAAAATATTGCAGAAACAACTTTTAGATTAGGTTTAAATCCAATATTTGTATCTGCAATTGGATATGATGATTTTGGTAAATGGCTTACTACCGAACTTAAAAAAATTGGCACAGTAAATGATAATTTCCTAAAAATTATATTATTCTTTCTTAGCTTTCTTATTGATGATTATATATAATAATATTTTAAATTTTCTAGGACCCTAGCAATTTGCAACTTATTGAACGTAAATCAACTGCTATATATAATGCAATACTTAAACCTAATGGAAATCTTCTTTGTGGAATTGCTGATATGAGCATTTTTGATGAAATATCTGTCAATAAGGTATTAATTGTTGTATGATTTTAATAACAATAATGTATGATTAATTTTTTTTTTTTGAATAATGATATAATTTTGTAGGTTGAGGAGTTACTAAAAACAAATAAACCAAAATTTGTTTGCTTTGATGGAAACATTTCTGAAATTTGCATCAATTCAATATTAAATTTTTGTTCAAAAAATAAAATACCAGGTATAATGATTTTCTATTTTAGTACCAATCAATTTATAAATTAATTTTTAAAAAATTTATAAATTCTTATAATATTTAAAGCAATTTTTGAGCCTACATCAGTTCCGAAAGCCAAAAAATTATTTCAAAACAAAAAATTATTTTCTGAATTATTGGAAACACAAACTCTCAGATATATTACACCAGACATTTATGAATTTGATTCAATGTTTAATGCTGCAGAAAAGAAAGGATTATTTGATACAGATAGTGATACTAATTGGTTTTCTAAACTTAATGAATTTAATATTGGTCCTAAATTTAGACAAGGTATGTTTATATAATTATTTAATTATTATTTCCTTTATTTCATTCTAATAACAAATCTATATAATAATTTATTTTTTAACAGATTTAGAAAATCATTTTTACAAAGAATGTTTTGGACTGCAAAAACTCAAAGATAGTGGAGTATTTTCAAAAGCCACACAACTTTTACCATACATCCCATCAATTATCATTAAGTTAGGTAGAGATGGTGTATTATTGATACAAAATTGTGAAGACATTGATAATATAAAAAGAGATAATGATTTTGATAGGAAAAAAAAGATATTTGAAATTATTGTTCCAAGAAATGAAGGAAAATGTAAAGGTGGTATTAGGTAATGTTATGCATTTTTAAAGATAATTTTAATCAAAAATTTCATGAATATGATTTTAATTTATGATATTTATTTTTAAAAAATATTGAAATAATAGATATAAATATTTCAAACCCTTTCCACTTGAACCATATAAAATTATTAATGTCACAGGTGCTGGAGACAGGTGACTTAATATATAATTTAATTTGCATTTTAAATTTTATATATTTTATATAACAAAACATTAATAAATTTTATTTCTTTAGTTTTGTTGGAACTTTAATTGCTGGTCTAACATTATATGGTGAATCAAAAATAGATAAAATTATAGATGCAGCACAACAAATTGCTTGTATGACTTTACAGTCATATGAGGCTGTTAGTAAAGATATCAATAGCAACTTTTGGGATTTTAATGATATATAAAATAAATAAAATAAATAAAAATAAAGATCTAAATTATAATTAAGTAATCAAGAATCTACCTCCAATATCAGATATTGTTATTAAGTGATTTAATAGTAGATTGTGGATAAAGAAATTGTTAACAAATTACATAACTTATATAGTATGTTGAGAAGATAATTACCTACCATGTAACTTGCTTAAAGAGAGAAGTATTATGCTAGTATATTTTCATTATCACATGATTATTTTCAAAAATTGATTTATGAAGAGTTGTAGGAATATTTTCAAATATTATCTATTATAATTATAGTAAAATCAAGTTATTTTATATCAAAAGTAAGTGATCCCTGGTTGATATATATTTTAAATGTTTTTATAAGCAAATTCATTTGTATGAAATATTTAAGAAATCTTAACGAAATTTCAAAATGACAATGAAGATTTATTTAGTTGTTAAAAATATATCCACATGCAATATAGGCATGATTTGTAGTTACTATACTGTATTCTATGATAATTAAATTTACATTTTATTGTTTACATAACTTAGAAAACATTGCATTATAATCTATTATTTTCTATTTAATACTAATTTTTGATATAGAGAGATGCTAATATTAAACAACAGATATGTATGCACTTATCTCATTTTTAGATGTCACATTGACGCATTAAAGCGATTGAATTTACACTTGGAGTTCTAGACAGTAAACAGAAGACTTAGATTTAAACAAATATTTAAAGTTTAAATATTTTAAAATTCGATTTAAAATGTTTAAGAAATAAGTTTAATATTGTTAAAGTTTTCAAAGCTGATATAAATACACATTATTCATAGTAATGAGTCAGAATTAATAAATATTATTAATTGGTCTCAGTATATTTATTATAGTAACTTTAATTTTTTTATCACGAAACCTAAAATTTTTTCCAAAGATTATTATTTTAGACAAATAGTTAAAAATAGAAATAATAAAATTTCCGTTTCTTTAACTCAAAAATAATAATATAATTATTTACTATAAGTTACAAGACAAGTTAATAAAGAATAATGATTAAATAAGATTAAAAATGTCTGAAGAATAATGCAAATTCTAAATTTGCAAAAAATACAGGTTTTTTTTTTAATTTTTAAAGTTACGCCAATCTGAACAATGAAAATCACATGTGTGCAGCTTGTTCTTTTAAGTATCTTTCATTGTGCATGTGAACAGAAATCATTAAATGTAAATGCGATATATTTTTTATTCGAAATTTAAATTCAGCCATTGTTCTTCGTACATAATTCAAATTTGAATTTATCATATGGACCGATTTGTCTCCATTCGATTTTGTCACATAAAATTTATTTTTTTAATTATGTTGTAATACAATAAAATAGTCAAGTCAATAATGCTGATCAAAATCAATCATAAAACTTGATGATTCGATTTTTTTTTTTGGTTTCTCTGCGACGTCAAAGAACATAGTGGAATTTGTTAAGAATTTGTTTTCAAATCAGTTGGAATCGCATTTGAATTGAAATTACCCATTCATAACTTATATAATTAATAATTATTAAGAAATATTATGTATTTTTTAGGGTATTTATATATAGATTTGAAATGCATTGATTATTAATCTTAATTTTATATTCAAACCATAGATTTTACAGAGTAAATAAATAGATATTGAATATAAACATATGTATAATAATGATAAAATCATGTATTTTTATAATTATAACATGAGATAAATAAATAAATATATATATTCAATAAAAAATTATATATACTAAAAATACTTTAAGTTTGGAATATTTAAAAATTATTTTTTAAAAAATATTGATGCCTTATTTTTTAATAAATAATTATTATTTTGTTATTTCATTTGTTTCGTCTATTTCGTCTTTTTTATTACTGTTAATCGTGTGGATAATGGCCAATAATAATTAAATTTTTCAGTCACATACGTGATATAAAAACATCGAAGTGAGACACTGAAGCGAATGATCCCGATACCTTGAAATTGAAACCAATAAGAATAAACTATTCATATCGGATCCCTTATAGGTTCAAGTCCCCGAGTCAAGCGTGAACCTGACCCTCTGTCAAATATTTGAGCAAGATATTCCTGGCTCCGTTAACATCTCTATCAATCACCAAATCGCAAGAATCGCATCTAAACGTTTTTAATCCACCAAGATTTTGTTTAATGAATCCGCAATTCCCACAAGTCTTTGATGTATACTCTTCTGTGCATTCGATTATCTTGCGTTCACAAAATTCACTTGCTTTATGTTACAAAAAATCCTAAACCTGAAATGTGACCATGTGAACATCATCCGTGCTGTCTTTGACCTGATCTTTCTCTGCTCTTCAAGACCATATTTGAAGATTCAAATTTTGGTAACAGTGTGATCTCATAACTCTTGCATAACCAGCGAGCCAATTGATGATGGCATTCATCCTTATCTTTTTAACGATCCTTCGCATCTTTATTCTCAACCTGTATCGTTTCCTCTTGTTTGATCTACTGAGAGCTTGATATTTACCACTTTGCAAGTTATCGTACTTTTTTTGATAATTTAAAAATCCTATCAAGGTCTCCGTTACTCCACTCAACGATTTGTCCTTCTGGATCATAACACGTCATGAATGCTCGAACGCCAGGATCGAGCGATATTACCTTTCCCTTGACATCTTCTTGGCTATCGATGACATCTAAAGGAACTGGCACGCATATGTAAAAATGTCCTAGCCTGTTTATGGTTATTTTTACTGTGTTACTTACCAATGGTACTTTTTGTGACGTGATGACGGTTTTCAGAAACGCATACGCTCCTTTGTTTCTATTCCAATCTCTCGCAAGTATTGAAATGGTCTGTAATCGACCCTTCTTCGATTTGTACTTCATCCTGAAATTACTACCGCGCGTTTTTATATTCGTCTTGTAAGCACTCATCAGTTGCACAATTATAAATATAAATGAAGGTCTCAAAATTCCAATTTAATGGAACATTTTGAATAGTTTCATTGTCAATGATTATATTACTCATAATATTACAAGGAAAAGTTTTTTCATAAAGAATATATGGAACTCTTGGACGTTTAGATAACTTTAGTTTGAACTATTTTGTCATTAGTGGGAAAAACGAACCAACATGATGTATTTTCGTCGTTTAGCCAAATTATTCCAACCTAAAATAAAATAAAAATAAAAAAAAAATTAAATAAAAAATAAATTAAATAAATTAAATTATTTAAATAAAAGAACTTAACAATATCATTTTCTTTCATATAAATATATTATGCATTCACGTTACGTAGAATAAGAGGTTTTCAACAGGATTAATTATAAATAAGGATTCTCGTTCGTTAATTAATTCTAACGCGTATGGTAATTTTATATGGTCTTTCATCCATAAATAATCCTTTTTCTTAATCTCATTACTATATATCAAATATATTTATATAAATATGTATATAATCATCAAAAAATTTGAATTTAACATAATTAAAGATTGCCTACAATTCAACAAGATTATTACATCGTCCGGGAAAAGGTTTCACGATAACTGTAGCGATATTTTGAATTGGATCCGCCTTGATGAGACTTCCTTTCCACTCTCTTTAATTTAATGTTATGATTTAATAAAACTCAAAAAGGAATTATTTATTTATAATAATATTAATACTTACAAAGCTGATCCTTTCCCGTCTTTTTCAATTTATTTTGAATTTGCATTTATTTTCGGTGGTGTATTATTGTTTTTCAAAGAAGAATTTTTTGAATTTTTGTTGCCATTGTAGAACTTTCTGTCATTGTAATATCAGTTATATCATTTTTATTATCTTTAGCATTAGATAATGTTTGCCGTGAATTATTAATTTTGCTTGCCCGAGATATTGATGGAGTGGTAGCATTATTCGAAGCATTGTTCGAAGGATTATTCGATACCCTTAACTTCTTCATTTGTTTGGCCAACAATTCATTATTACTAAATTTTTTTTAAAAAAATTTTGCCGATAAAATTAATTGATAGTATTTACATTCTTCTATTCATAAATCATAAAAATCTTTTTTTTTAACTAACATTTTAATAGGCAATCCAAGACTTTTAAATCTAGGTTTTAATTTTTTTGGCGACATTTTATTTGATGTATGTTTTCACTCACGTGCAATGAGATATTTAGTTCATTTATCACTTAAAAATATTAAAAATAATATTTAAAATGATTTTTACTTAAAAGGAATTAAATTACATTTTCGGAATTATTATTTTAAATCTCAAAGTAACAAAAATCAACATCTGACAAATACAGAATGTAACTGAAAATCAGAGATCAATGAAGAGGAGAATAAAATTTGTACTTGTTTATTGACAATCTATTTGTTCTCGTGAATTTAGTATACATTGATTTATCGATATCATTATTAAAATGAGTACATATCGAATCTTTGTTCTTAAAATAGACAACCCCCAAGATTTCTTTATGTTCTTTATGTGAAACTATTTACATTTTATTTATTTTTAATGGCGCTAAAAAAAATATATGTATTCTGATCTTGTGTTTCAAAGAAAAAAAAAATTAATTTTTATAAAGAAAAACATTGATTTCCTAATTATAATTTTAATATTATAATTATTATTATGACTCACGTGAAAATGCGTGAAATGGTAAATAATTTCGTCTGCGAAAACTTATATATAGTCTTCTTTTTTTAGGTTAGTATAAAATTAACAAAATTTCGAAAATAATTAAAGACAGCAGAACAGATAATGATTAAAGTTCTGTTATGGAATAATACTTTCAAAACAAATGGTTATTAGTTTATGAATAATTGCTGATAAAAAATATAAAAAAATGCTATTAGTAATTATAACGATTACAAATATAACGATACAAATAACGATAACAAATAACGGTAAAGTAATTGAATTTTTAATACGTGCTTTTTGTTTTTTGTTTTTTTGTTTAATTTTTAGTTATTTTTTTTTTGTGTTTTATTGTTTAATTGTTTTAGATACTTTAGTTGGTACATAGATATATTTAAAACAACAACAAAAGAGCTAAACCAAATGTTGTATTTTTATTTATTTATTTATTTTAAAAAAAAAGATAA